ATCATCTCTGGCTAGCATTCATCTTACCATGCTTTTTTGTTGTTTTTTGAGACAGAGTCTTGCCCTTGTCAGGCAGGCTGGAGTGCAGTGGCGTGGTCTCAGCTCACTGCAGTTTCTGCCTCCCGTGTTCAAGATATTCTCCTGCCTCATCCTCCCAAGCATCTGGGATTACAGGCGTCTGCCACCCGACTAACTTCTGTATTTTTTTAGTAGAGATGGGGTTTCACCATGTTGTCCAGGCTGGTCTCGAACTCCTGACCTCAGGTGATCCACCTAAGTTGACCTTCCAAATTACTGGGGTTACAGGCATGAGCCACCACGTCTGGCCCATCTTAACATGTTTTCTTCACTATGACTCACCTTGCTTTCCTTGTGATGGCCTGCTTTGCCTATCTTGCCCACTTAGCGTGCAACCCACATAGGGCCATCGGCATTTTCTATGTGGTGTTCACACTTGTTTACTCTGCATTCAAAGAGAAGAATAATCTAATCAATTCCTTTGACAGTAAACCCTGAGGCCTTCCCTTAAAGCCCTCACTCTCCTAAAACAAATACAGCTTGGGGTGAGTGTGTGACAGAAATGTGTGCAACATATTGGAGTGGTGCCTCACACCTATACTCGAAGTGCTTTGGGAGGCCAAGGTGGGAGGACTGCTTGTGCCTGGGAGTTCAAGACCAGCCTGGGCAACATAGTGGGCCCTGTCTTTACAAAAAATAAAAAATTAGCTGGGCATGGTGGTGTGTGCCTGTAGTCTCAGCTACTAAAGAGGCTAAGGCAGGATTGCTTAAGCCCAGGAGTTCGAGGCTGCAGTGAACTGTGATCACACCACTGCACTCCAACCTGGGTGACAGAGTAAGACCCTAAGGATAAAAAGAAAAAAAAAGAAAGGAAGAAAGAGAGAGAAATACATGGAGCGGCCTTCAAAGGCAGGAAAGCCTCCCAGCAGAAATCTGATTCACTGAGTTCAGATGTAGGCTAGAGCCAGTGACAGGTGGTTTCATGTGTCACTCTCGGCTTCAGACAGCTAAAGCTTTATCCTCCTTCTCTCTATATGAGTGTGTGCGGTATCTAAATACATATATATATATCTGTATGATGCTGCATAAAGTATGTGTGTGCTATAACAAAGACTGCCTTCAGAAAGTCTCTTTTGTTGGGCATTTAGTGGCTCGTGATCCACCCACGTCGGCCTTCCAGTTTTCCAAGTGATGCAAATGAACAGATGTTTTACATTCACTTTATACTTTGCTACATGCTTTGGGATTCCAAGAGCTCATTCAATTCTCACTGCACATTGAAGGGGAGGTAATTTACCACTCATGTTTCTCTTTTTTTTGTTGTTGTTGTTGTTTTGAGATAGTCTCACTTTGTTGCCCAGGCTGCAGTACGGTGGACCCAATCCTGCTTCACTGCAAACTCTGCCTCCCAGGTTCAAGCAATTCCCCTGCCTCAGCATCCCAAGTATAGCTGGGAGCAAAGGCATGAACCACCATGCCCAGCTAATTCTTTTTTGTATTTCTAGTAGAGACAGGGTTTCACCATGTTGGCCAGGCTGCTCTCAAACTGCTGACCTCAAATGATCCACCCGCCTTGGCCTCGAAAAGTGCTGGGATTACAGGTGTGAGGCACCACACCCAGCTTACCAGTTGTATTTCTTTAATTGGGTTAAATTTTCTGTTACTTGCAGTGGGGTTAAGTCAAAAAGGAATTTATTGCTCAGGTAACTGAAAAGTCCAGAGAGGCCGGGTGCAGTGGCTCATGGCTAGAATCCCAGCATTTGGGAGGCTGAGGCAAGAGGATTGTTTAACCCCAGGAGTTTGAGACCAGCCTGAGCAACATAGCAAGACTTCATCTCTACAAAAAATTTAAAAATTAACCCAGTGTGGTAGCACATGCCTGTATTCCCAGCTACTCAGGAGGCTGAGGCAAGACAGATCATTTCAGCCTAGAAGGTTGAAGTTACAGCCTTGGTGACAGAGTTAAACCCTGTCTAGAAAAAAAAAAGGCCAGAGGAATTAAAGTTTCTCTTTTTTTATTATCTTGTTTGATATGAACTTTCACTCTTATTATCCAGGTTGGAGTGCAAGGGTGTGATTTTGGCTCACCGCAACCTCCACCTCCTGGATTAAAGCGATTCTCCTGCCTCAGCCTCCCAAGTAGCTGGGATTACAGGTATGCGCCACCATGCCCGGATAATTTTGTATTTTTAGTAGAGACGGGGTTTCTCCATGTTGGTTAGGCTGGTCTTGAACTCCCGACCTCAGGAGATCTACCCACCTTGGCCTCCCAAAGTGTTGAGATTACAGCTGTGAGCCACCACACCTGGCCCAGGGTTTCCTTTCTTTTTTTTTTTTTTTTGAGATGGAGTTTCGCTCTTGTTACCCAGGCTGGAGTGCAATGGCGCGATCTTGGCTCACCGCAACCTCCGCCTCCTGGGTTCAGGCAATTCTCCTGCCTCAGCCTCCCGAATAGCTGGGATTACGGGCACACGCCACCATGCCCAGCTAATTTTTTGTGTTTTTGTAGAGACGGGGTTTCACCGTGTTGACCAGGATGGTCTCGATCTCTTGACCTCGTGATCCACCTGCCTCGGCCTCCCAAAGTGCTGGGATTACAGGCTTGAGCCACCGCGCCTGGCCGGTTTTCCTTCTTTGATCTTTCTGTTTCTACATAATACTTACTCTGTAATGTGCCCATACATCCTCATTTCTCTTTATTTTCCATTTCCCCACGAAAATATAAGCTCCTAAGGCCAGAAGTTTCATCGGTCTGATTGTCAGAGTCTGGAATTAGACCTGACCTTTATAGTTGGTGCTTGGAAAATACTTGCTGCCTGAAAGAATCTCCCTCTCACAAACAGTAAAAGCAGAAGCTCAGGAGGGACAGTGACCACCACATGTCAGCCCTATCCAGTGCTTCCACGAAACTTCCAAGGGCCCTGGCTGCGTTACTCTGTTTATATTGTTATAAAGGAATACCTGAGGATGGTTAATTTATAAAGAAAGGTGGTTTATTTGGCTCACAGTTCTGCAGGCTGTATAGGAAGCCTAGTGCTGGCATCTGCACTACAGGGAGGCCTCAGGAATCTTCCAGTCATGGCAGAAGACAAAGGGGGAGCCGGTATATCACATAGTGAGAGAGAAAACGAGAGAGAGAGGAGGAGGTACCAGGGTCCTTTAAATAACCAGCTCTTGGGTGAGCTTATAAAGTGAGAACTCACTCGTTATGAGGACAGCACCAAGCCATTCATGTGGGATCCACCCCATAACCCACATACCTCACACTAGGCCCCACCTCCAATGCCAGGGATCACATTTCACCATGAGATTTGGAGGGGACATATATCCAAAGGATTGCACCAGCTTTCCTGAGTTTTTTCCCGAAACATGATGGAAAGCCAAAGGATGGATAATTCTCTACTAAGATTCTTCCACTTGGCCAGCTGCGGTGCCTCATGCCTATAATCCAGCATTTGGGAGGCTGAGGCAAGAGGATCACTCGAGCCCAGGAATTTGAGACCAGCCTGGGCAACATTCTGGTGACTTGGGAGGCTTAAGCCTGGGAGGCAAAGAGGTTGCAGTGAGCCAAAATCATGCCACTGCACTCCAGCCTGGGCAACAGAGCTAGACACTGTCTTAAAAAGAAAAAAAAAAAAAGATTCAGGGATGTCTTTTGTCTGCTCCACAATATTTGGGGACCTCAGCTGGGAACCTGAAGGCTGAGGGACCTTGAAAGCTGGGAGGCTGGAATCATCTGAAGACTGTTGTCTCACGTGTCTGATGACCCTGGGAAGATTCAGGCTAGGAGCGAATGGACACCCTAAGCAGAGTCTGGCTGGCTTCATCCTCACAGCGTGGTAACCTTGGGTCAGTGGGTTTCTCAAGCAGTGTCTCCGGGCTCCAAGCACAAGTGTTCAGCAAAAAAAGATGGAAGCTATGTGGCCTTTTATGAACCAGCCTCAGAACTCTCCCTCATTCCTATTCAACCTGCATTCACAGTTTCCCACTTGATCTACTTGTGTGCCAACAACTGAAGCATTCCAAGCAAGGTCCTCTAGACTCAAGAGGGTGTAATTCCCACAGTACCTTTCCACTGGCTTGGCACCACCAGAGAGGGGAATCTCGTCTCTTTCCCTGGCTTAGGACAGAAGTGATACTGTCCCTGCTGTATTCCCTTTGTGTCGCTGAAGAAGGCCTGATGAGGAGGGGCTGTGTCGGGAGGAAGGAACTCACATTACTTCTTTTTTTTTGAGACGGAGTTTCGCTGTTGTTACCCAGACTGGAGTGCAATGGCACGATCTCGGCTCACCGCAACCTCCGCCTTCTGGGTTCAAGCAATTCTCCTGCCTCAGCCTCCTGAGTAGCTGGGACTACAGGCACGCGCCACCATGCCCAGCTAATTTTTGTATTTTTAGTAGAGACGGGGGTTTCACCTTGTTGACCAGGATGGTCTCGATCTCTTGACCTCATGATCCACCCGCCGTGGCCTCCCAAAGTGCTGGGATTATAGGCGTGAGCCACCGTGCCCAGCCTACATTACTGTTTTTTTTGTGATGATGCCAATCTATCACTTTCAAAGGACTTCAAAAGAGCCTGTGCTAGATTCCAGTTTTACTGACACGAATTGGAACAGAGTGGCCATAATCTCTTCCCTGAATGTAATGTTCTGTGATAAGAATATCCTAGAGAGCCTGAAATATGAGTAGGCACCTGTCATTCCAATAACCTAAAGCAGCAGATCTTCCTCGCACATTTGGTTTCCTAGAGCACAAGAAGCTACACAAGGATAGGAACACAGGGAAAGGCAGGAAGACACGTAGTAGAGGGAGGGAGGACAAAATAGCTGACCAAACACCAAGGCTGTCGAGCGGCACCAGTACAGCCACCAGCTGGCTACACGTGTGAGATGAGCACTGAAATGTGGCTATGGTGAACTCTGACGTGTGATGCAAGCAAAAGATGCACACTAGATTCTGAAGATGTAACAGAAAGAATGCAAATATCTCAATAATTTTTATATTGACATGTGACACTGCTAACATTTGGGATATATAGGAATAAACATTAGTTTCACCTGTTTCTTCTTGCTTTTTCTTTCTGAGAGAGTCTCGCTCTGTCACCCAGGCTAGAGTATACAATCTTCGCTCCCTGCAACCTCTGCCTCCCAGGCTCGAGGAATTCTCATGCCTCAGCCTCCCAAGTAGCTGGGATTACAGGTGCACACCATTGCACCTGGATAATGTTTGTATTTTTAGCAGAGAGATGGTTTCACCATGTTGGCCAGACTGGTCTCAACTGATCCACCCGCTTTGGCCTCCCAAAGTGCTGGGATTATAGGTGTAAGCCACTGCACCTGGCCTCTTCTTGCTTTTTCAATGGGGCTACCAGAATATTAATTTATGTGACGTGCATTGTTTCAATGGGACAGTGTTGCTACGTACTGTGTACCCTGGCTTTCTCCAGTGGCTTTTTTTAAAGAGATGGTGTCTCACTGTGTTACCCAGGATGGAGCACAGTGGCTATTCACAGGCACAATCCCACTACTGATCGGCATGGGAGTGTTACGTTTTGTTTTGTTTTGAGATGGAGTTTCACTCGTCACCCAGGCTGGAGTACACTGGCACACTCTAGGCTCACTGCAACCTCTGCCTCTTGGGTTCAAGTGATTCTCCTGCCTCAGCTTCCCAAGTAGCTGAGATTAAAGGCATGCACCACCGTGCCCAGCTAATGTTGTATTTTTAGTAGAGATGGGGTTTCACCACGTTGGCCAGGCTGGTCTCGAACTCCTGACCTCAGATGATCTGCATGCCTTGACCTCCTAAAGTACTGGGATTACAGGTGTGAGCCCAACCAGCATGGGAGTTTTGACCTGCTCTGGTTCACCCTCCTTAGGCAAGCTGGTGGTCATCTGCTCCAAGGAGGTCATATTGATGCCGAACTTAGCGTGGACACTGATGAGCATAGCACACTACAGCCCAGAATTCCTGTGTTCAAGTGATCCTCCCACTTCAACCTCCCAAGCAGCTGGGACTAGAGGCAGGTGCAGCCATGCCTGACTCTTCAGTGGCTTTTAAATGACAAAGGCATTAATCCAAGAGGCACTCCACAATCATATTGAGATGCAGTATTGGAAGACTATCTGCAACATGGTTTCCCCAAGAGAGAAATTTTAAGTAACTAGAAATGTATATCCCAGCATTGGGATTTAAAAAATCAAATTGATGGATGTAACCACAGCTGATAGCCAAAAACAGCCAATGTAATTTCTAATGAGGGCAGCAAGTCACCATTTAAAGGTTATAGTTGTCAGAATGACTATTTGTGGACTCAGGGTTCAACAAAATGTTAAATTGTATGAAAACAAAACCTTACTAAACAGCAGGATGCAGAATCAATGAAAACACAGTTCAAAAGGATTAACTTGAACATTTCCCAAAGATGAATTGTACAAAACATGTTTCTAACATGAATTTGCTATTGCTTCTAAGATGATGGTTTAACAAAGGAAAATTCTTCCTTTTTGTAAAAAAACAAACATCTGTGTTTCTAATGCAAGTTCTGCAGAGAAATGTGGAGGGAGAACAGAGCAGTAAAAGCCATCTCAGAATTAGTGAGACTCTATGGAAGCAGCTTTCCATTTTGAGTCTTCCCATACAAAGCTTTTCGATCTCATTGCATATGAAGATTTATTGCAGAAATAATGCAGGGATAACTAAAAACCTGTTTATAGTACACTGATGCTTTCTCATATGGAATTCAAACCTGTGACTGGCTTCCACATACCCTGATCAAATCATACAGCTTTTTACTGAGACAGTCAGTATCCATAGTGATTCCATAAAGATACCACTCTCATTTCTAGAGCACTCTGCCATACTGTCATTTGGGACTATGAGAGTCAACCTGCACCATTCATAAGCACTTTCCTCTGAACAATGTAATGTGCAATAATGGCGAATTCTGACTTTATTTGGTTCTTGTATATGAAAGGCATTTGTTGGGGTTCTCCCCAGTTTGAACTTCTCTGGTTTAGACTACGGTGAATCCTTGGACAAAAGCCAACCCTGGATCCACTGCATTTGTTCCATTTCCTTTTTTATAGGTTCTATAATGTAGCACTAATGGCTTTTCAAGGCTGAAGGTCCTGAGTGTTGATTATCTACATGTTTCCCTATACTTTGGATGCAGGGATGCATGACCTAGAGCTTGGTGGTCCCACAGTCATTTTTCATCAGTGTGAACTCTGTGAGAGTGTTTGAGGGCTGTGCTGTGTGAAAGCGCTTGTGTATGGGCCAGGCATGGTGGCTCATGCCTGTAATCCCAACGCTTTGGGAGGTCAAGGCAGGCAGATCATCTGAAGTTGGGAGTTCGAGACTAGCCTGACCAACATGGAGAAACACCATCTCAAAGAATACAAAATTAGCTGGGTGTGGTGGTGCATGCCTGTAATCTCAGCTACTTGGGAGGCTGAGGCAGGAGAATTGCTCGAACCCTGGAGGCGGAGGTTGTGGTGAGCCAAGGTCACGCCATTGCACTCCAGCCTGGGGAACAAGACTGAAAGCCCATCTCAAAAAAAAAAAAAAAGACTTGTGTATGAGTATACATTTCTCATGTGTATGATTGGGTCAAATCTAGAAAGGGATGTGAGCTATGGCTTCAGGTCTTCTTATGTCCCCAGCACATGTGAAGTTGGGTTTACTCAGTGTGAGTTCTCTGGTGCTTGGTAAGGGAGGAGCTGTGTGTAAAGGCCTTTCCACATTCCCTGCAGGCATACGGCTTCTCTCCTGTGTGGATCCTCCGGTGCTGAGTGAGATGGGTGCTCTGCCTAAAGGACTTCCCACAATCGTGACACTCATAGGGCTTTTCCCCAGTGTGAGTCCTTTCGTGCTGGCTGAGTGAAGAGCTGTGGCTGAAGGATTTCCCACACTCGTTGCAGCCATAGGGCTTTTCCTTGGTGTGAGTCCTCTGGTGTTCAATGAGCAGGGAACTCTGGCTGAAGGCTCTGCCACATTGGTTACATTCGTAAGGTTTCTCTCCTGTGTGGATCCTTTGATGCTGAATGAGGGGAGCAAGCTGGCTGAAGGCTTTGCCACACTCATTGCATTCGTAGGGCTTCTCCCCAGTGTGGATTCGCTGATGTTTGGTTAGGGACGAGCTGTGGCTGAATGCCTTGCCACAGTCGTTGCATTCGTAGGGCTTCTCTCCTGTGTGGATTCGCAAGTGCTGAGTGAGGTGTGTGCTCTGCCGGAAGGCCTTCCCACACTGACTGCACTCATAGGGCTTCTCTCCTGTGTGTGTCCTTTCGTGCTGGCTGAGTGACGAGCTGTGGCTGAAAGTTTTCCCACACTCATTGCATCCGTAGGGCTTCTCTCCTGTGTGAATCCTCCGATGCTCCGTCAGGAGTGTGCTCTGGCTGAAGGCTTTCCCACACTCACTGCATTCATAGGGCTTTTCTCCCGTGTGGGTCCTCTGGTGCTGAATCAGTGGTGTGATCTGGGTGAAGGCTTTTCCACACTCATGGCACTCGTAGGGCTTCTCCCCTGTGTGGATTCGCTGGTGTTTTGTCAAGGATGAGCTGTGGCTGAAGGCCTTGCCACACTCACTGCACTGATAAGGTTTCTCCCCAGTGTGGATTCGCACATGCTGGGTGAGGTGGATGCTTTGCCGGAAGGCTTTCCCGCACTCGCTGCACTCGTAGGGCTTCTCACCTGTGTGAGTTCGCTCATGTTGACTGAAGGAGGACCTAAAACTGAATGATTTCCCACATTCGCTGCACTCATAGGGCTTCTCCCCTGTGTGAGTTCTCTGGTGCTGGATAAGTGGGGCAATTTGGTTGAAGGTCCTCCCACACTGAGTGCATTTATAGGGTTTCTCCCCAGTATGGATTCTCTGGTGTTTAGTAAGTGCCGAGCTGTTTCGGAAGCCTTTTCCGCATTCCGGACATTCATAAGGTCTCTCTCCTGTGTGCATCCGGTGGTGTTCAATAAGGGCTGAGCTGTGACTAAAGGCCTTTCCACATTCCTGACATTTGTAGGGTTTCTCTTTTACATAGGTTTTCTGTAGAACATTTAGGTCTGGCTTCTCCCTTTTTCCACGTGTTCCCCATGTGTGGGGGCCTTGTCTTTCAGGAGTCATTGGTTGATGTGGGAGATCAGAGTTCAGACTTAAGTTTTCTCCAAACCCATTCCTCTACCACTGCTGCTGAACAGGTGTCTTCACAGGCGTGAAGGCTGCCGGCACTGCCAGGCTCTCTAGGCTTTCACAACTCCATTCCAGTGGCCCTCAGTGTCCTCACCCCTGCAGTACCACAGACCAGCCCACAGGAATCTTTCTACCAAGATGACACTGTTGGATATTTCTTCAGAGATGCCTTGCTTTAGAACTGACGGTTTGACTTTGGGTCTAGATTCCAGGTCTGAAAGAAGCAAAAACTGAAAATGTTCCTTAATCTCTGTTCCAGGGCAAAAGAGTTTGTGGTGAGATGGGAAGACGAAGGATAAAGCTAATGATTTTGAAAAGTTCAAGGTACAAGTGGCTTTGACCATTTAAAAATACAGTTTTGCAAACCAGGAAAGGAAGGGAGAGAGAGAAAAGCAGAATAAGAAAGAGGAAAGGAAGAAGAGAGGGAGGAAAAAACAGTTGGGATGAGGAGTATGGATGGAGTCTGTGAGGGAAGCACAGAGGAGGGTGCAGAGGGGATGCCCAAGAGAAAGCACTCAGAGATGCACTGGACATGGAAGGAGCAGTGTGGCAGCCAGGCCCCAGTTACAGTGGCCTCCACAATGCCAGGCGGCAATGGAGAAAAATGAGCTGTGTGGGGAAAGTCTGCTGACACCCAGCTTCTTCCTGGCAGCATATGCTGGTTGTGCCACCTCATTCAAGATGTAAAGGAACCTATCAGCTCCCCACAAACCCAAAGAGCTGCAACATGCATCACTACAAGGATGGATAGATAACCCATGGTGTATCTGAGTGCTCTGATCTGCTTATTTTGTCTGTTTCACTGTGAACCCCCTGAGGATAGGGGTTTCTGTCCACCTTGCTCACCACTATCTATAGCCCACAGCAAGAACTCAATATACATGCTAACTGAATGAACAAATGCACTCCCTCCTCCTCCTCCTCCTTCCTGGCAGGACTCCCTTTTTGCCCTGGTACCCAGGCCTCTCTGCACAGCCATGATCTAGGTACATGCTGCCCCTACCCTGACACAGCAGTGGCCTAGAGGTGTGATATGGGCACCTTCCCCATATTGTTATGCTTCAGGGAAAAATTCCATTAAAAAAGAAAAAAAAGTTAAGCTAGGAATGAGTGGCAGAATAGTGGCCTCCCCAGATGCCCACATCCTAACCCTAGAACCTGTATGTTTCCAATTACATGGGAGGGAGGAATTAAGGTTGCTAATATTGGCTGACATTAAGATAGAGAAATTATACTGGATTATCTGGGTGGGCCTGTGTAATTATAAGGGTCCTTAAATGTGGAAAAGAGGCAGAAGGGTCCGAGTCAGAGTGAATATGATGTGAGACTTGACCAGCCCTTACTGACTGTGAAGATGGACAAGGCCATAGCCAAGGAATGTGGGTGCCTCTAGAAGCTGGAAAATGCAAAGAAATGGATTACTAGCCAGGCACAGGGCCTCATGCCTATAATCTCAACACTTTGGGCAGCTGAGGCAGGAGGATTGCTTGAGCCCAGGAGTTTTAGACATGCCTGGGCAAAATGGCGAGACCTTGTTTTTATAAAACATAAAGAAAAAATTAGCTGGGCATAGTGACACATGCCTGTAGTCTCAGCTACTCAGGAGGCTGAGGCAGGAGTATTACTTGGACCCAGAAGATCAAGGCTGCTGTGAGCCACAATCATACCACCGCACTCCAGCCTGGGCAAGAAATCAAAAACCTATCTCTACAAAAACAAAAAAGGAGAGAAAGGGGCCGGGCGCGGTGGCTCACGCCTGTAATCCCAGCACTTTGGGAGGCCGAGGCGGGTGGATCACAAGGTCAAGAGATCGAGACCATCCTGGTCAACATGGTGAAACCCCGTCTCTACTAAAAATACAAAAATTAGCTGGGCACAGTGGTGCGTGCCTGTAATCCCAGCTACTCAGGAGGCTGAGGCAGGAGAATTGCCTGAACCCAGGAGAGGTGGAGGTTGCGGTGAGCCGAGATGGCGCCATTGCACTCCAGCCTGGGTAACAAGAGCGAAACTCCGTCTCAAAAAAAAAAAACTGGAGAGAAAGAAAAAAATGGATTCTTCCCTTCCCCAAAGCCTCCAGAAAGAATAGTGCCCTGCTGACATCTTTATTATATCCCAGCAAGACCTATTTTGGACTTCTGATCTCCAGAACTTTAAGATAATTAATTCACTTTGCTTTATGCTACGAAGTTTGTAGTACTGTTGACCTTGAAAAATGAGGGGACTAGGGGCACTGACTCCAGTGCAGTGGAAAATCTGTGGGCCGGGCGTGGTGGCTCAAGCCTGTAATCCCAGCACTTTGGGAGGTCGAGGATGGCGGGTCATGAGATCAGGAGATTGAGACTATCCTGGACAACATGGTGAAACCCTGTCTCTACTAAAAAATACAAAAATCAGCTGGGCCTGGTGGCATGTGCCTGTAGTCTCAGCTATGCAGGAGGCTGAGGCAGGAGAACTGCTTGAACCCAGGAGGCGGAGATTGCAGTGAGCCAAGATTGCGCCACTGCACTCCAGCCTGGCACCTAAAAAAGAAAATCTGTGTTTGTTTTTTTTTTTTTGAGACAGAGTTTCACTCTTGTTACCCAGGCTGGAGTGCAATGGCGCCATCTCGGCTCAGCACAACCTCTGCCTTCTGGGTTCAGGCAATTCTCCTGCCTCAGCCTCCCGAGTAGCTGGGATTACAGGCACGCGCCACCATGCCCAGCTAATTTTTGTATTTTTAGTAGAGACGGGGTTTCACTATGTTGACCAGGATGGTCTCGATCTCTTGACCTTGTGATCCACCCGCCTCGGCCTCCCAAAGTGCTGGGATTATAAGTGTGAGCCACCGTGCCCGGCCCCTGTGTATAACTTTTAATTCCCTAAAAACTTACCTACTAAAAGCTTACTGTTGACTATACTGATAAAATAGTTAACACTTTTTATTTTTATTTTTTTGAGACGTGGTCTCACTCTGTCACCCAGGCTGGAGCACAGTGGCATGATCTTGGCTCATTGCAACCTCCGCCTCCTGAGTTCAAGCAATTCTCCTGCCTCAGCCTCCCAAGTAGTTGGGACTACAGGTGCACATACCACCATGCCCAGTTAATTTTCTTTTTTTGTATTTTTTTGTAGAGACAGGGTTTCACCATGTTGGCCAGACTGGTCTTGAACTCCCAACCTCAAATTATCTGCATGAAACAACTCAGGGGCCTTGATCAAATGATCCTGGGCTCAAGCAATTCTCCCACCTCGGCCTCCCAAAGTCCTGGGGTTACAGGTGGGAGCCACTGCTCCCAGCCCTTAGTTAACACATATTTTATATACGTATTATACAATCTATTGTTAAAGTAAGCTAGAGAAAAGAAAATGCTATTTTAAAAAATCATAAGGAAGAGAAAATGTATTTACTGTGCATTAAATGGAAGTAGATCACCATAAAGATCTTCATCCTCATTCTCTTCACAGTGAGTAGGTTGAGAAAGAATAGGAGGGGTTGGTCTTGCTGTCTCAGGGGTGGCTGAGGCAGAAGAAAATCCATGTATAAATGGACCCACACAGTTCAAACCCAGGTTCAAGGGTCAATCGTAACTTGTTGCAGGAAGAGTAACAGGAAACTAATACACTGGGTAAAGGCTGTTGTTGATGTGGAGGGACCTTATTGTGACCCTCACCCACACTGGCCATCCCTCCTGGACTCTGGCCCCACTTCCCACCTGTCAGTGGGCTACCTACCAATCACCCTACAGTCGCATGGCAGAACCCAGCCTGGATCCACTGACCCACAGACACATGAATTGTAAACAATTTTTTATTTAAGCCACTGAGGTCAGAGTGCTTTTTTTTTTGAGATAGAGTTTCGATGTTGTTACCCAGACTAGAGTGCAATGGCACAATCTCGGCTCACCACAACCTCCGCCTTCTGGGTTCAGGCAATTCTCCTGCCTCAGCCTCCTGAGTAGCTCGGATTACAGGGGCGCACCACCATGCCCAGCTAATTTTTGTATTTTTAGTAGACGGGGTTTCACCTTGTTGACCAGGATGGTCTCGATCTCTTGACCTCGTGATCCGCCCGCCTCAGCCTCCCAAAGTGCTGGGATTAGAGGCGTGAGCCACCGCACCCGGCCAGAGTGCACCCGGCCAGAGTGCTTTTTCTACACAAGAGCTGACTGATGCATCACTTCAGGCTTTGCACCTGCTGTTTCCTCTGCCTGAAATACTACTGTTCTCTCAGACTGCTTCAACTCACATTTCACCTACTTAGAGAGGCTATCCCTCATCGCTCTGCTAAAGTCTCCTCGCCCCCATCCCAGTCTCCACCTCACCACTGATTTTCATTTTCTCAGCATGCAGCACAATCTGTAATCATCCAACTCGTTTTATTATTTTACTGATTTATTGCTTGTCTTCCCAACCCCCTCACCAAGAATGTAAATTCAGTGACGATAAAGCCTTGGTGTCACTCACAGCAAAATGAGTGCTTGATAAATCTTCACTAAGACCAAGCAGTAAATTTCCTGTGAAGAATTAGCAGCTGCAGAGAGAGAAACCAGGAAGCAAGCATGGACAGGCCTCTCTCAGCCCTGAAGGGCTCCCATCTCACCTTGGTACACACCTTGGGGAACGCCAGGGTCCACTGCCCGCAGCTCTGCCTCTTGCTCCAGCAGGGAGATGATGTTCAGCTTTGGTAACCAATGTCCTGCTCAGGAAGAGACCCCAGAGTGAGCATTTGCATCCCAGGACCCTTCCTGACCCTCAGCCCATTCCAGGTCCCAAATGGCTGGGGGCCCCTTAGTGACTTCAGCTGTCATACCAACAATTGTAGATGTTCCTCAGGGACTCCATTCCCTACTCTCCCTACTCTCTGTCCCTGACCCTACCCCTGGTTCCGGGGTGGACATGTGACCCAGGCCTGGCCAATCAGAACTCAGCTTCTTCCCCTGCCCACCGGCAATAATGATCATTGTGAAGACCTGGCAGCCAAACCAAGACAACTCAGGGGACTTGATGATGCCTGGGCCATAGACCTTGTCTTTTCTGCTGGTCTTGGACCCAGGAAAGGCAGCCTGGCAGGTGCCTTGTCACCTCCAGAGAAGCCTATCTGGAAATAAAGCCAGAGATTGTTACAGTCTGAATATTGGTGTCCCCCTAAATTCAGGCTATGTATAGTGGCTTATGCCTATAATCCCAGCACTTTGGGAGGCTGAGGTGGGAGGATCACTTTAGAGTTTGAGGGCAGCCTGGGCAACACAGCAAGTCCCCATCTCTACAGAAATTTTAACAATTAGCTGGGTGTGGTGGTATGCACCTGTAGTCCCAGCTACTTGAGAGACTGAAATGGGAGGTTTACTTGAACCAGGAGGTTGAGTGTGCAACAAGCCACGAACAAGAGCATTTCTTAAAAAAGGTTCTAGTGCTGGAACCGAATACCCAATGTGACAGTGTTGCGATAGGGCCTTGGGGAAGTGATTAATTCATGAGGGTGCCCTTATAAAAGAAGCTTGAGGGAGCTCCCTTGCCCCTTATGACATGCCAGGACATGGGAAGAAAGTGCCGTCAGTGAGGAGCAGGCCCTCACCAAACACTGAATTTGTTGATACCTTGATCTTAGGCTTTCCAGCCTCTAGAACTGTGAGCAACAAATATCTGCTGTTTATAAATCGCCCAGTCTAAGGTATTTCAGCAGCCCTAACAGACTAAGGCAGAAGTGCAGTGGGAAGTATGGAAGAGGGAGGGGCTCCTGACAGCTCTACAGAGGACTCTGGTCCACCCTGGGATTCTGTTGTGTTGTGACCCAGAATGTTTCCCTCACCTCATGTTTCTCTGCTTCTGGTGATTTCAGGTTGAGTCTGTGACTTGCTAATATTAGTCCTAATTGATATTTGCAACATTAAAACAGTCATGTTCTTTTTTTTTTTTTTTTGAGACGGATTCTTGCTCTATCGCCAAGCTGGAGTGCAATGGCGCAATCTCGGCTCACTGCAACCTCTGCCTCCTGGGTTCATATGATTCTCCTGCCTCAGCCTCCCAAGTAGCTGGGAGTACAGGTGCGCACCACCATGCCCAGCTAATTTTTGTATTTTAAGTAGAGATGGGGTTTCACCATGTTGGCTAGGATGGTCTCAGTCTCTTGACCTTGTGATCTACCCGCCTTAGCCTCCCAAAGTGCTGGGATTATAGGCATGAGCCACCGCAGCCACCCCAATAGTCAGGTTCTTAAAGGTCAAGACACACGCCCAGACATTTGCTTTTAAAGCACAATCCTATACCCATATTTAACCTAGTAGAGTCAGAATCCGTATTAGGAGCAGACCATCAAGGACACGGGTGCGGCCTTACCCACAGCAACCAGAAGTCTGAAGGTGCCCAGAATTACATCATAATACAAGGTCCTCTGGGCAGGCTCCAGCTGCCCCCACTCCTCCTGGGTGAAGTCCACCACCACGTCCTCAAAGGTCACTTGCTCCTGAAACATCACACGAGTGTCTTCAGCCAGGCCAACCCTAGCACAGCCTGCTGGTGGGGTACCTTGTGAATGCCAGCCAGGCTGGGCCGGATAGAGTTCTCTTTGGTCTGGGGTTTTGGGTTTTTCCATAGGGCCTGAATGGGCGCCCTGCTGATGGGGGAGGATCTTAGGATCTAAGGCATCATACCCATTGCCAATAATTTGGCTCTTGAAATAAGAAATGAGACAGAGGAGCCAATAAAGGAGTAGACAATACCGGCATGGTGTCGCACGACTGTGGTCCCTGCTGCTCAACAGGCTGAGGTGGGAGGATCACTTGAGCCCATGAGTTTGAAGCTTTAGCGAGCTGTGATTGCATCACTGCACTTTAACCTAGGAGACAAAGGTATAAAGCTAGTCGTAGCAAGTCCAAAGACTGAATGTAGGTTGTTTTTTTTTTGTTTGTTTTTGAGACGGAGTTTCGCTCTTGTTACCCAGGCTGGAGTGCAATGGCACGATCTCGGCTCACCGCAACCTCCGCCTCCTGGGTTCAGGCAATTCTCCTGCCTCAGCCTCCCGAGTAGCTGGGATTACAGGCATGCGCCACCATGCCCAGCTAATTTTTTGTATTTTAGTAGGGACGGGGTTTCACCATGTTGACCAGGATGGTCTCGATCTCTTGACCTCGTGATCCACCCGCCTCAGCCTCCCAAAGTGCTGGGATTACAGGCGTGAGCCACCGCGCCCGGCCTGGGTTTGGTTGTTAATTTTTTAGAGACAAGGTCTCACTGTCATCCACGCTGGAGTGCCGTGGCGCAATCAGGCTCACTGCAGCCTCCACCTCCTTCCTGGGCTCGAGCAATCCTCTCCCGCCGCTGGGATTACAGCTACGAGCCACCGTACCAGTCCCGGGTATGGGTTTTCTGACAGTCCTACAGGAGGCTGGCTTCTTCCGGTGACCTGGTGGGGTTGACGTCATCATAAACACGCGAGCCCCGCCCCTTGGCCTCTTCCTGCAGTCCAAGGAAGCGGCTCCCAATGCGCCATGTTGGAGCGCAGCGCACGCTAAGGCCCCATGTTGGACCAGACTGCAGAGTCGGGCCCCTACGGCTGTCTGACATCACCCAGCCTCAGGAATGCAGTGCCGGCCGCACAGACACGAAGCCTGCTCAGACAAGGACCCGTGCCCGCTGACTCCAGCGCAGCGTGGGCAATCCTGGCAGAGGCAGAGGCTGTGGCGCGGACTTCAGGAGCCTGGGCGCGCAGGTAGAGGCCAGGTGCGGGGTTAGAGGCTGGGCCCGATAGAGGCCGGGTGCGGGGGTAGAAACTGGGCCCAACTAGAGGCCAGGTGCGGGGGTAGAGGCTGGGCCCAACTAGAGGCCAGGTGTGCGGTAGAGGCCGGGCATGAGTAGAGGCCTGGTGCGGGAGTAGAGGCTGGGCCCAACTAGAGGCCAGGTGCGGGGGTAGAGGCTGGGCCCAACTAGAGGCCAGGTGTGCGGTAGAGGCCGGGCATGAGTAGAGGCCTGGTGCGGGGGGTAGAGGCTGAGCCCAACTAGAGGCCAGGTGTGCGGTAGAGGCCGGGCATGAGTAGAGGCCTGGTGCGGGAGTAGAGGCTGGGCCCAACTAGAGGCCAGGTGTGCGGTAGAGGCCGGGCATGAGTAGAGGCCTGGTGCGGGAGTAGAGGCTGGGCCCAACTAGAGGCCAGGTGTGCGGTAGAGGCCGGGCATGAGTAGAGGCCTGGTGCGGGGGGTAGAGGCTGGGCCCAACTAGAGGCCAGGTGTGCGGTAGAGGCCGGGCATGAGTAGAGGCCTGGTGCGGGGGGTAGAGACTGGGCCCAACTAGAGGCCAGGTGTGCGGTAGAGGCCGGGCATGAGTAGAGGCCTGGTGCGGGAGTAGAGGCTGGGCCCAACTAGAGGTCGGGCCCAACTAGAGGCCAGGTGCGGGGGTAGAGGCCGGGCCCAACTAGAGGCCAGGTGCAGGAGTAGAGGCCGGGCCCAACTAGAGGCCAGGTGCGGGGGCAGAGGCCGGGCATGAGTAGAGGCCTGGTGCGGGAGTAGAGGCTGAGCCCAACTAGAGGCCAGATGTGCGCGTAGAGGCCGGGCATGAGTAGAGGCCTGGTGCGGGGGTAGAGGCCGGGCCCAACTAGAGGCCTGGTGCGGGAGTAGAGGCTGGGCCCCACTAGAGGCCAGGTGCGGGGGTAGAGGCCGGGCCCCACTAGAGGCCAGGTGCGGGGGTAGAGGCCGGGCCCAACTAGAGGCCAGATGTGCGCGTAGAGTCCTGGTGCGGGGGTAGAGGCCGGGCCCAACTAGAGGCCAGGTGCGGGAGTAGAGGCCGGGCCCAACTAGAGGCCAGGTGCGGGAGTAGAGGCCGGGCCCAACTAGAGGCCAGGTGCGGGAGTAGAGGCCGGGCCCAACTAGAGGCCAGGTGCGGGAGTAGAGGCCGGGCCCAACTAGAGGCCAGGTGCGGGAGTAGAGGCCGGGCCCAACTAGAGGCCAGGTGCGGGAGTAGAGGCCGGGCCCAACTAGAGGGCCAGGTGCGGGAGTAGAGGCCGGGCCCAACTAGAGGCCAGGTGCGGGAGTAGAGGCCGGGCCCAACTAGAGGCCAGGTGCGGGAGTAGAGGCTGGGCCCCCACTAGAGGCCAGGTGCGGGTGTAGACGCCGGGCATGAGTAGAGGCCTGGTGCGGGGGTAGAGGCTGAGCCCAACTAGAGGCCAGATGTGCGCGTAGAGTCCTGGTGCGGGGGTAGAGGCCGGGCCCAACTAGAGGCCAGGTGCGGGAGTAGAGGCCGGGCCCCAGTAGAGGCCAGGTGCGGGTGTAGACGCCGGGCATGAGTAGAGGCCTGGTGCGGGGGTAGAGGCTGGGCCCCACTAGAGGCCAGATGTGCGCGTAGAGTCCTGGTGCGGGGGTAGAGGCCGGGCCCAACTAGAGGCCAGGTGCGGGAGTAGAGGCCGGGCCCAACTAGAGGCCAGGTGCGGGAGTAGAGGCCGGGCCCAACTAGAGGCCAGGTGCGGGAGTAGAGGCCGGGCCCAACTAGAGGCCAGGTGCGGGAGTAGAGGCTGGGCCCAACTAGAGGCCAGGTGCGGGAGTAGAGGCCGGGCCCAACTAGAGGCCAGGTGCGGGAGTAGAGGCCGGGCCCAACTAGAGGCCAGGTGCGGGGGCAGAGGCCGGGCATGAGTAGAGGCCTGGTGCGGGAGTAGAGGCTGAGCCCAACTAGAGGCCAGATGTGCGCGTAGAGGCCGGGCATGAGTAGAGGCCAGGTGCGGGGGTAGAGGCCGGGCCCAACTAGAGGCCAGATGTGCGAGTAGAGGCCGGGCATGAGTAGAGGCCTGGTGCGGGGGTAGAGGCTGAGCCCAACTAGAGGCCAGATGTGCGAGTAGAGGCCGGGCATGAGTAGAGGCCGGGCGCAGCACCAGTTGGGGCCGGGCGCGAGGTGGAGGCTGCGTGCGAGTGGAGGTCACGCGCGAGGAGGCCGAGAGTCTCGGCGGGTCTCCGGAGGCGCACAGCGCAGGGTCCACGCCCGGCCTCGGCAGGAACGGCTGCCCCTGCTCTGGGGGAAACGGGAGGGGAGCAGCTGGGAGGCCGCGGCGGTGCTGTGTCCCCAAGCCCGGAACCGCGCTGGAGCCTGGGGAGCCCCGGGGAGCCCCGCCCGAGCCGCTGTGTGTGGGGCCGGCCCGGCGTCGTCCCCGCCTCTGGGGGAAGCTGAGGGCCTGGCGGGGCCGACGCGAGCCTGCTGCGCAGATGACTCCGGCCCTTAACGCTACAGTGACAGGCCGGGAGGCTGCGGTCCTGGCCTCGTGCCTCAGTTTCCCTCTTCCATCCCTAAGGATGGCGGCCCAGTGCCCGGTGTGGGGCAGCGGCGGGATCCGGGGCGGGGCGCGCGTTCCCTCGGGGGCGGTCGGAGCAGCTCCAGCCCCGCCCTCCTCTCAGACAGGGGCGCCCCTCAACGTCGGCCCCGCCACCCCGGAACCGCCTTCCTCAGGCCCGGGCAGCAAAACGGGCCACACACTTACGCGCGCCGCTGGCAACTCGCCCCGCCGGGGCCGTGGAACCGCAGGGAGAGCCCCGCGTCCCGCGCCCCGGCCCGGCCCGCCCTCCCCCGCCTCGCCGGCCGCGCTCACCCACCTGACCGCGAGACGAGGCCGCGGCGCCGGCAGCCGCCACTACGCCTGCGCGCGCCTGACTCCGTTTCCTGCCGGGCCGCGCGCATTTCCGGCCGCCCTCCCCCATCCTGCTCTCGCGGACGCTGTGGGCCCCCTCAGTACTGCGGGCCCGGGAGTGACGCGGGAGTCAGGGCGCGCGGGGAGCCCGGGCATCAGCGCGGGATGGGTCGTGTTGGCAACGCCACGGTCAGCGTCATTCCTGCCAGAGCAGCCGTGGTTTTGCAAACACACACGTTCCAGCATTGAGCGGGTCGCGCACACAGGAGCCTTTGCACTCGGAGGCGGCGCAGCGTTGTCGCCGTGTTTATTACGTGGCTACAGGGAACATCACGTGCGGGGCACTAGCGGTGAATGGCGGCTTCGGACACCGCCAGGGCATTGTCAGGGACGTGCGTGTGCCGGGCAGCCGGGTATCCAGAGCTGCCGCCGCACCCTCGTCGACACGGAGGGAGCTGTCATGTTCCCAGCGGTCACGAAGCCCGCCAGGCGCTAGGCCCGGGTGCAGCAGCGCGCAGCACATGACGAGGGCCCCTCAACTGTCCCCCACTCGGGGGCTCCATTTCCCCGGCGTCTGTCACACGTGCGTGGAGCAGAGACAAAGCCGGGAGAGCCAGGGCCGCGCCTCGTGCTGTTGCCAGTTTCGGGGAGTCCGGATTCGTGCCGATCTGCCTGGCCTTGGGTGCAGTATCTGCAGCTGAGGAAACGTTGCAGGACGAGGGCGGTTTTTTTTTTTTTCTTTTGGCTGAAACAACTCTGAAAACAGCAGGGAACGCAATGGGAAGTATCGTGGGAAACACAGACACTTGAAGGGATCTGCTAGTCACGCACAGTTTCACGAGCCCCAAAAGCGCGGCCATTACGAGGCGCTGCACGACGCACTGACGTAAAGCACGCAAAGCCAGCCTCGTGGCTGTTGACGGGTGTCCCGCGCGTTCCGAGAACTGTAAAGCCCCACCCTTGCGACGGTCACCCTGAAAACCCGCCTGCGTTTCACTGCACCGCAGCAGAGGCTTTCCATGCACACATACTGACGTTTTTCAGTTATCCTACAAACCCAAATGCAACAAGACATTTTTGTGTGTATTTCACAAGATGTAAACTACAGTGCCCCACCCCCCCCACCCCCGTTTCCCCAGTAAAAACTGGATCACATGGTATGAACACACACGATGAACTGTTTTTCCCAAGTGGTCTGACAGCCCGGGTGAGAAGCGGTCGGTGGGGCCGCACGGAGCCTGCTCAGCCCTGATGGTGGCCAGGCAGCCCTGCCCAGCTTCCTCAGACCCTCCGATCCTGCTTGTTCTCAGCCAGGCTTCTAAACCGTACCTGCCTGCAGGGGTGGGCTCTTTCTACAGGGGCGGGTGCTGCTTGGCTCCAGCCAAGTGGGATCGTGTGGCCTGGTAAGCCCAGCGTCCCAGGTCTGGATTTCGCAAAACAACCCAGAGATTGGGATTTCCGTGTGAAATCTCATAATTCTTAAAAGCTGGTAGGGATTTTGAAGACTTTAATAATACTCTACTAGTCAATGATGAGCTACTCCTGTGCCGAACTTGCTGTGGTCTGAACTTCCTGCCCTCTCTGGTGACCACTGGCTGGGCCCTTCTCAGCTCCTTCTCTGCTTCCTGTTGCTGGTTGCCTCGGTGTGACCTGGGACAGGACCCCCTCCCCAAGCCATCAGCAGGTGGGCTGCGCATCAGGGCAGCTCCCAGGCAATCCTGCGGTCACAGCATAGATAGCAGAGCTGTGTCACGCCTTATGTTAAGGTTTAAAAAGTTAATCTGTCCAACATACATACATTTAAAATGCACTCTTAACAGTTACTGCTCCCTGGATATATTTCTTCCTTTAAAAAAATCATTTTGAGAGCTTCGAAGCCTAGCAATGTCCTGCCCTCCTCTGACCCCAGAGGCCCTGGCGGCCAGGGAGAAAGGTGCCCTGTGAGACTCGGTCTTCCAGAGCATAAGCCATGTCCTTGCTTCTGTCAGCCAGGGTGGTGAGAGTGGCCCTCCAGGGAGGCTTCCCCAGCTCTAACCTGCAGCCCACAAGCTCACTCATTGACTCACTCATCCCTTCACTACAGAGGGCCTGCTGTATGCTTGGCATGGTCAAGTGTGGCAGTGGAGACTGTTCCAGGCACAGGAGGAGGCCAGGGTGACAGGCAGTGTGGAGACAGTCGGAGACACAGTGCTTTAAGGAAACCAGCCTCCAGCATCCCAGTGCTGGGAGCTGTGGGGGCAGCGGGGCCAGGAAGGACATGCTGGAGCTGCCCTGCTGGGCTTTCTCTTTCAGTGTCCACATTTTAGAGGGACCCTATTGGCTGCAGGATGGGGATGGGCAGAGGGAACAGGGGCTGGAGGCAGAGTTTGCCTAGAGGCAACTGCAGGCAGTCAAGAAATGGGGACAGAGCCTGGGGCTGATGGCACAGGGGAGAAAAGAGAAGTGAGAGGGGTTGGGAGCTGGGTGCCCAAGGCAATCAAATATCCTTCCTGGAGGCCAAGGTGGGCAGATCGCCTGAGGTCAGGAGCTTGGGACCAGCTTGACTAACATGGAGAAACCCCGTTTCTACTAAAAACACAAAAATTAGCCAGACGTGGTAGTGTAGGCCTGTAAGGAGAATCGCTGGAACCCGGGAGGCAGAGGTTACCGTGAGCCAAGATTCCGCTATTGTACTCCAGCCTGAGCAACAAGAGCAAAACTCCATTTCAAAAAAAAAAAAATCTTCTGGGGCCTTGGAAGGTGGTGGCCCCTCTAGGGGGAATGGGAACCCCAGCGGGGAGGCAGTTTGCATGTTGTTTGTTTTTGCACAAGGGAAGATGAGTTATTTGGACAAACTCAGTTGGAGGACTGAAGGACACCAGGTGGATGTCTCTGAGGCCAGCCCAGGAAGGCTGGAGCCTGACCGATGCCCTGTGGGCAGTGGCACCCTCTTTCTTATGCAATTCTGGCTCCAAGGAACAGAGCTGTGACTGTGCCTCCAGGGGTTGGAGAGTGAGATGGAAACTGAATGGAATGAGCCCCTGGCTCCCGGCAGGTGGGGGCGCTCGGGAGAGTTGTCTCTACACCTCCTGTCTTCCTAGACAATCGATCTGTGCCTGAGGGAAGACTCGGGGCTTCCAAGAGTAATGGGCTGACTGCGGGGGCCAAGACCCCACCCTTCATCCTGAGCTCGGTAGAAGAAGCTCCTCCTTTGCAGGATGAGAGAAAAGGCGCCAGGAGGGGAGCTGGAGCCCACCAGCAATTAAGGCAAGGGATAGAGCCGGGAGCCCCCAGTGGGGACTGCAGGGAAAGCTGGGGATGCCGGAGGGAGCTGGGAAGCAAGGTCCGGAGGCCCCGTTGGGGGGAAGCTCCACGAAGGCAAGCGTGAGAAGGCAAGCACGGCAGCGAGTGTGAAGTGAAGGCAGTGGAGGGTCTGCGGGAGCCGCACAGCCCGTGACGGGCATCAGGACAGACCGAGAGTGGGGGCAGCTTGGTTGAGAAGTAGCAGCAGGTGGATGTGACGTGGGTAGGTCCAAAGGCTTTTGAGTTAGAAGGCGACTTGGAAAAAGGTCCCTGCCTGTGTGGATTCACAGTCAGCCCAACGTGGTGTGTTTCCAAACGAAGTTGGGAGGAGAAAAAGAAAAAGACAAAAACTTTTAAGGCTTTTGCTTGAAAAGGGACCAGTGTCCGGCAACGATGAATTGGGGACCGATCAGAAGCAGAATCCCAGGCGGGGTCCCCGCTGACGGCAGGTTGTGCCGATGCTGCCTGCCCCCGCTCTGCTCCAGCCAAGCAGGATGGGCGGCCCCACTCTTTGGAGACCATCTGGTTCTTCCTGGCAGAGCAGAAAGCCAGATTTTTATGCTTTAAACAAGTATTGGCATCTGTCTTAAAAAAGAAAATCCTTCTGTAAGTCAAACCAAATATAGGCAGGTCAGCCTAAAGACTCCGCCTGCAATCCAGAGACAGAAAGCAGTTTCAGGTTGTCAGGGCGGGAGGGAAAGGGCGGATGAGCGCTGACACCTGTGGGATCTCTTTCTGGGAGAGCGAAGTGTCCTTGGAGCTGGAGAGTGCTGGTAGTTGCACGATGTCGTGAAAGTAGGTGCATTCTTAGTGACTGAAATGGTACATTTTATGTGTGTGCTTCACCAAAAAAATAAAAAGGAAAGAAAACAAAACCCTGTTTATCTGGGGGGCTGAGCTCACAGGAGGGCAGCCGGGGCATCTGGGGTCAGCTGCACCCTTCTCTGGAGTTGGAGCTGCCCAGGCGGGATCCCGACCTCATGGTCTCAGGGATATCCACAGTGAAATGAAAACCCTGCGGCAGAACGTGCCGCTGGGTCAGGTACTCACAGGGAGACCTGCACAAGGCTTCTGAAAAATGAGACACTAATGAAACTCGTCTTCAATCCACTTGCAAAACACAGTGTGCACGATTGACCAGGCTACGCTGTGGAACTGCTGCCTCTCAGCCGAGACCCTGGGATGCCCCCTCCCATGCTGGGTGGAGACCACAGAGCAGGTGTCCAGGATCTTCTGTGAAACAGCGGTGGCCAGGGATTGGTGGGGCTGGGGGATGTCCCCACCTTCTGGGGCCCATCGGTGCCCCCCAGGGACTCAAGGCTGGGTGGCTGAGGCCCGAGGCTGGCCATTCACATGTGGCCATGAACAGTGTGGAGCTTCTGGTGGTCGATGAGGTGGACCATCCAGGGGAAGGACTTCCCGCAGACGCTGCATCGGAAGGGCCTCTTGGGGCTGCGAGGGGCCGCCGGATCCTGGGCTCCATCCCTGGGTGGGGCGGATTCCCGGGGGCCCTTGCTCCGGGGGCCTTTCTTCTTGGGTGGCTCCAGCAGGTGGATCTTGCTGTGCTCAGCGAGGACGGAGCTGTGCAGGAAGACCTTGCCACACTCAGGGCACGGAAAGGGCCCCTCTTCGCGATGGGTCTTCTGATGCTCGATAAAGTGGGTGACCCAGGTGAAGACCATCCCACAGTCGGCACACTGGAAAGGCCTCCCCCCTCGGGGCCCACGCGGCGCTCCCGGGGTGCCTGTAGCAGCCTCTTGGGTGCCAGCTTTGGTGTGCTTGAGGGATGGCTGCCGGCGGCCGCCCTGGTTGGTGTTCCTGTTTTTCTTTCGGGGACTGATTCTCTGAGCACTCAGACCCTTGGGGCCCGAGGTCACAGCCCCTTCTGCCCGCAGGTCTGAGGAGGGCCCTGGGAGAATTTCCTCAGGCTCGTCCCAGATACTTGGCTTCAGAGGCAAGCGGGCCCGGGACCCTGTGGAGAGTGAGGGAGACGGGTCACCTGTAGTGAGTGGACTGCCTTGGCACCTCCCTTTGTGCCTGAGGGGCATGGAGGACCCCAATGACTGAGCCAAGTCCAGGTCCTTCCCCTGCTCAATATGGCCCCTCTGCCCTCCGTCCTGTCCTTCAAGATAGGTGGGCACATGTTTTGGGGGCAGATCCGTCAGCACTGACCCCTCGTTCCTACCTGGCTGGCCCTCTGGGTAACCCCCTGCTCCAACACTCTCAGTCTGTCTGGCTTGGCTGCCGTTCAGGTGGGGAGGCAGAGGCCCTTCTTGTGGGGTGAAGAATGTGCATGGTGGTTCTAGGGGCCCCAGACCTCAGTCCCCACGGAAGGTTTGTATGGTTTCTGGGGAAGTGTGGAGTTCACCACCGAAGCCCCTAACTCCACCCATTAACAAAGTCTGCGGCTTTAGGTTGAGGTCCCAAACTGCATTTCCAAACTTTAATCTGCACAAGAGCCAGACTCACCCATCGAGCCAGGGGCGCGGGGTGGCTCGGCCTCTGCCCTCGTGTGCACACCCTGCGGGAGCTGGGTGGGCTCCGGCCACTCGCTTTCCTCTGGGGGTGCCGAGGCTGCCGCTGCCGCATCCAGGATCAGCTCAGACGCCTGGAATGACAAGCACAGGACTGTTCCGCACCTGCCCCTCAGGTGCTGTCCTACCCCCATCACCGAACAACCAAGGAACGGGTCGTCGCCAAAGGCTCTCCCAGGGCGGCGTGCGGTGGTATGCGCCTGTCGTTCCTGTGTTTGGGATGCCCATGAGGATGCCCGGAGGATCGCTTGAGGCCAGGATTTGGGGACCAGCCTAGGCAACATAGCAAGACCTCATTTATACAAAAAATAAATAATAACTCCCAAGGAGCTCTTACCAGGACCTGAGACAGAATTCAAGGGGCCGCTGTACAAAATTGAAATGCAAGTCTCCTTGTTCAAAAATCGTTGACCGTTTCAGGACAGTGACAACAGAGCATTAGCTAGAGCCAGGGGACCTATGCCTTGCAGCTCGGGTCACTGTTACCCACCAGAGTTCCAAGCTCCTCTGGCGGGTAACAGCCTCCCCAAGGCTGCACTGCCCTTCCCCACAAGCTCAGAGAAGATGGGTAACCACACAGGCTTCACATCCCACCTGCAACCTATGACCTCTGCACTCCTAAGCCTGTCCCACCCAAAACCGGGGTCACCACTTTCTAGGCAGGGAGATCACCTAAGGTCAGGAGTTCGAGACTAGCCTGACCAACATGGAGAAACCTCAACTCTACCAAAAATATGAAAAAATGTAATAATCACAGCTACTCAGGAGGCTGAAGCAAGAGAATCACTTGAAACCGGCAGGTGGAGGTTGCAGCAAGCAAAGATTGCACTCCAGACTGGGCCACAAGAGCGATACAAGGAGAAAGAGAAGGAAAAGGAGGAAGAAGAAGGAAGAGGAGGAGAAAGGAGGAAGAGGAAGAGAGAAGAAGAATTTGAAACAGAGGGGTCTGGCTTGGTGTCCAGGCTCAGCCCCACTTGCTGTGTGGCCCTGGCTGAGGTGCTTTAGCTCTCTGGGCTTCAAATGAGGATGTGGGTGCTATGTGCCCACAGCCTGTTACCATCAAGGGCTCGGCGTACTGCAGGAGGGTCGTAGCAAAGGAAAAACACTGACATTTGTCAATGCAAATCAGGTTGTTGGGGAAAGTGTGTCGGGTCAAACAAAGCCTGAGAAGAGACCAAGAATCCAGCAGGCCTGTCTTGGGTGGGTCTCCACTTTCTCCTGCCCCAACCCTACCTGGATGCACAGGGGCCTAAGGAAGCTGTCCTAACAGCTGGGCAGGACAGGCATGCAGAGATTGCAGGGCTGGCGACTGAGGAGGTAGGGAGGGAGGGAGCTGATGGCCCGAAGGGAGTTAAGACACAAGATTTCGCCCAGGCGCAGTAGCTCACGCCTAAAATCCCAGCACTTAGGGAGGCTGAGGCGGGTGGATCACGAGGTCAAGAGATTGAGACCATCCTGGTCAACAAGGTGAAACCCCTTCTCTACTAAAAATACAAAAATTAGCTGGGCACGGTGGTGCGTGCCTGTAATCCCAGCTACTCGGGAGGCTGAGGCAGGAGAATTGCCTGAACTCAGGAGGCGGAGGTTGCGGTGAGCCGAGATCGTGCCATTGCACTCCAGCCTGGGTAACAAGAGCGAAACTCCGTCTCAAAAAAAAAAGGACGCAGGATTTTCCTGCTCTCACATTGGGAGTATGTGGATGGTGTGTTTGGCTGGGTTGTTGATTTTTATTTCTTAGCCATTGCTAGTTTTGATTTTAAAACATGTCAAATTCTGAAATTGTCACCAGAGGAGCCACCATCTGCAGGAGTAAAGATGCGACTTTCTTTTTTTTTTTTTTTTGACACGGAGTTTCGCTCTTGTTGCCCAGGCTGGAGTGCAATGGCGCGATCTCGGCTCACCGCAACCTCCGCCCCATGGGTTCAGGCAATTCTCCTGCCTCAGCCTCCTGAGTAGCTGGGATTACAGGCACGCGCCACCGTGCGCAGCTAATTTTTTGTATCTTTAGTAGAGACGGGGTTTCACCATGTTGACCAGGATGGTCTCGATCTCTTGACCTCGTGATCCACCCGCCTCGGCCTCCCAAAGTGCTGGGATTATAGGTGTCAGCCGCCGCGCCCGGCTCAGAAATTATCTTTTTTTTTTTTTTTTTTTTTTTTTGAGACGGAGTTTCGCTCTTGTTACCCAGGCTGGAGTGCAATGGCGCGATCTTGGCTCACCGCAACCTCCACCTCCTGGGTTCAGGCAATTCTCCTGCCTCAGCCTCCTGAGTAGCTGGGATTACAGGCACGCGCCACCATGCCCAGCTAATTTTTTGTATCTTTAGTAGAGACGGGGTTTCACCATGTTGACCAGGATGGTCTCGATCTCTTGACCTCGTGATCCACCCGCCTCGACCTCCCAAAGTGCTGGGATTACAGGCGTGAGCCACCGCGCCCGGGCAGAAATTATCTTAATGGCTTTAGTTGGGGCAGTGGTAATAGTTAATTCTGAAAAAACACAGGAGAGTGAAGTGACATCACCAAGATGGTGAAGTAGGAGATAGCAGCCTTCATTTCTCCCTCCCCCAACCCACACGCAAAGCAAATACAGACAGATATTCACAAGCCGGAATAGACCAAAATGCTCAAGGACGCATCGAAGATCTGCAGCAAAACGAAAAAAACCCAAGAACGTCCACATGAAAAAGCTCACTGGTGAGGTAATGCATACTGAGCTGTCAGGAAACCAATGTGAACACAGAAGAAAAGCAGGAGCCACGGGTATCAGCTACACAGTGGGAACCACCAGGGACCCCAGCAGTCCGCTCTGCAGTGGACACTGCATCCCTCCTTGCCGAGGTTGTAACAGTCATTCCCACCAGGGTCTCAGGGAGCTAGGACCTTAGTGTGCTACGCACAAAGGGCTTCAGATAGTTACCCGCATGGGGTAATAGCGTTTCAGTCAACAACGGACGAGCCGTAAAATTATAATGACTCTCTTCCACCACCATTTGAAATCCATCTCCATAGATACGCTGCTGCCTGACCTTGGGTGTGCACCAGCACCCTCCTGCCCCCAGCTCCCCCGCCAGCGAGGACCTGACTGAGTACTGCAAGAAATACACAGGAAATCACAGAGAGATCCAAGATCATCTTGAGCAAGAATCTGCAGGATGATGGTACAATGTTACAAGGAAAGAGATCCGAGTATTTGTCTTGACTTACGGCAGCTGCAGACTGCACCGTTAAAATGGTTACTGGAAAATCAGGGGGATTTGTATTTGTGCTTTTGGAAAATGCTGCTATTGCTGCTTGGAACTGAGAGAACAGAAGTTGGATGGCAAATTAATAGGACCCCCTCCCGCCCCCGCCACAAAGAGCCAGAGCTTTAAAACGGAAAGAACCCCCGCCAAAGGTTTCATGGGTAGACTGAGTCCAGATACTTCTGAAGAACTAACGAAAGAATATTTTGGAGGCTTTGGAGAGATCAGATATAGTAAAGGCCGAGTGCAGTGGCTTACACCTAGAATCTCACCGCTTTGGAAGGCCGAGGCTGGAGAACTGCTTGAGGCCAGGAATTCAAGACTTAGGCAACACAGCTAAATCCTGTCCCTACAAAATTAGAAAATTACCAGGCACTGTGGCTCACGCCTGTAATTCCAGCTGAGGTGGGAGGATCGCTTGAGCCTGGGAGGTCAAGGCTGCAGTGAGCTGTAACTGTGCTACTGCATTCCAGTCTGGGTGACGGAGTGAGACCTCATCTCAAAAAAAGGAAAAAAGGGCCGGCCGTGGTGGCTCACGCCATAATCCCAGCATTCTGCGAGGCAGGTGGATCACTTGAGGTCAGGAGCCTGGCTAATGTAGTGAAACCCCGGATCTACTAAAAGTACAAAAATTATCTGGGTGTGGTGGCGTTCATCTGTGGTCCCAGCTACTCAGGAGACTGAGGCACAAGAATCGCTCGCACCACGGGGCGGCAGAGGCTGCAGTGAGCCGAGATGTCACCACTGTACTCCAGTCTGGGCAACAGAGCGAGACACCATCTAAAGAAAAACAAAAAGGCTGGGCGCGGTGGCTCACGCGTATAATCCCAGCACTTTGGGAGGCCGAGGCGGATGGATCACGAGGTCAAGAGATCGAGACCCTCCTGGTCAACAATGTGAAATCCCGTCTCTACTAAAATTACAAAAATACTTAGCCGGGTATGGTGGTGCGTGCCTGTAGTCCCAGCTACTTGGGAGGCTGAGGCAGGAGAATCGCTTGAACTCGGGGGGCAGAGGTTGCAGTGAGCTGAGATCGTGCCATTGCACTCCAGTCTGGGCAACAGAGGGAGACTTCGTCTTCGGGGGAAAAAAAAATCAATGCACTGTTACACTTGTAAAAAACTGCCATGTAGAATACCCAAACATTTTTAAAGTAAGAAACAATTTTAAATGTAGGAAAAAACTAACATCTTTGGTGTGCAGCGTCCACTTTCACAATTTTCACCTCTCCTACTCCACAATAATCAGCCGTAGAATATTCACTTTTTTCTTGCTTAGTGTATCTGTCTCACGGCAATTTGTCAAAGCTTTTGTTGCAAAACACATTTCTTAATTAAATACACAAAATAATACATAATATTGGGATAACCAAAAGGACTATGGCATCTTTTGATTCATTTTTGCGTTTCGTTTTTTATTATTTTAGAGACAGGAGCTCGCTCTGTGCCCAGGCTGGGGTGCAGTGGCCTGATCACAGCTCACTGCAGCCTCAACTTCCCAGATTGAAGTGACTCTCCCACCTCAGCCTCATGAGTAGATGGGACCACAGGCATGCGACACCATACCTAGCTAATTTTTTTTTTTTTTTCATAGAAACGGGGTTTTGCCACGTTGCCCAGGCTAGGCTGGTCTTGAATTCCTGATTACAAGCGATCCTCCTGCCTCCCGAAGTGCCGGAATTACAGGCATGAGACAGCACACTTTATTTTGGTGTTTTATTCCTCTCAAAACATTTTCTCCTGATAAGTTTATAATTAAAAATCTTACTTTAAATTAATGATGCTTTGTTTGTGCTCCTCAAATGCCAATGTTTTAACAATTTGAATTCTC